GAGAGAGAGAGAGAGAGAGAGAGAGAGAGAGAGAGAGAGAGAGAGAGAGAGAGAGAGAGAGAGAGAGAGAGAGAGAGAGAGAGAAAGAGAGAATGAGAGAGAGGGAGAGACACACCGAGGCAAAGACAGAGACAGAGACAGAGACAGAGAGAAAGAGAGATAACTGCCTGGTGAACCATAGGCAGAGAGGTAGAAGAGGACAACAAACGAGCGGCTATGACAGACTGTTTTGTTGGAGTTTACCGACTCGTCAGGAGTCTGAACCCTCTACACTCTGCAGAGTCCCCTAACAGATGATACTGAAAGCGATAATCCACCTTAACCCCAGTTGTGGTTAAGCATAAACAACTGCACGACAACTGCTACCCTGAGGTGGGCACCAACCACTGCCCTCAAGGTACCTGTGAAGAAATCAAAGCAGACTGTCACTCACCCACACCAGACGTATACATATATCGTCAAACAGAGCTGCCTGATAAACTGTGGGCAGAGAGTGAGAAGAGGACAACAAACGAGGTGCTGTCACAAACTGTTCCGTCGGAGTTTCACTGACTCATATACAATATACTGCCACATGTCTATGTAGTATGAACTAAAAGAGCACACTTTGCAAAACAAACGAAAAAAAAAAAATTCACGTATATGGAGGTGTCAGGGATATGACCAAGGGAGGGTAGCCGGCAGAAGGCTGCACGCACCAGGTTCAGCCGCCCGGTCAGTGTGGTGGCCTCACCCACACACAGAATCACTCAAGTCAAGGCTGACGAGGACCAGAGAGAGCAACCTTAGACACACACACATGCACACCGCGAGTATCACCCTAGGCCTGGTGCTACCTGGGCGCTGCAGCTCGGCGCGAGCCCTCCGAACTCAGGGTCCTGCATCCCCATTCTCACCCTGCCAGGAGACCACAGGTACCGCAGTCGCCGGTGCCGCACAGTTTGTACCCGTACTGGAAATCAAAATCAAATGAAAAAAACAAGGTGACCTGCTTGCTCGATTAATTTTGAAACCTGTAGGTACACCAGGAAATTGTTAAGATCTTTATTGTGTGGCATTGAAAAAATGACGAAGTCTTTGAATCATTGTCCAATGCTTGAATCAAATGCCTAGTGGCATGATCACAACAAAATAATATGATAGTTTTTCTAGGCTACCAGCCGGGCCGCCCGGGACGCCGTATTTTCCCGGGCGGCTCGGCCGTGCAAGGACCAGGGCAGGTCCCAGCAAAAAAAAAAAAAATCAAAAAATTCCGCAAATATGTTATGCAGAAAACAAAACTGAACAACTTTTGGCTCAGGATCAAATCGAAATTCTTTACCAAATTTTAAATAAAAATTAAAATTGAAAAATATTTTTCATTTTTTTATTTTTTTATTTGTTTTTGGCCCGGCCGGGCAAGTGGTCCGGTGCCACTCTGGTAGCCTAGTAGTTTTTATAATGAATATTAAATACTAAATGTTGTAATTACGAATTAGGGCGCAGTCACGATTTCAGTTTAAAATCCACTTCAGGCATCCCTCGAATACAGCACCCCCCCCACCAGACCCTGAAGCTAGGTTGTATACATTCACTATTTTCCGCGCTTTGGGACAACATTCGCGAAATTGTGCGTGAAGCTAGGCTACCAGAGTGGCCCGGGGTCACTTGCCCGGCCGGGCCAAAATAATTAAAAAATAAATAAATAAATAAAATATTTTTGAATTTTATTTTTTATTTTAAATTTGGTGAATAATTTCGATGTGACCCTGAGGCAAAAGTTGTTCAGTTTATTTTTCTGCATAACATAGTTTTTTTTCAGAATTTTTGGATTTTCTTTTTTTTTTTTTTGCTGGGACCTTACCTGATCCTTGCATGGGCTGGCCACCTGGGACCCGGGCGGCCCGGCTGGTAGCCTAGGCGTGAAGTGCATTTTCAAGCTAAAACTGTGACTGCGCCCTAGTTTTCCCATATTAAACTTTACATATTCGACGTATTATTCGTAACATTCTCTATATTTGATTATTCACACAGTATACACATTATGGTATTGTTACCTTTTGTTGCATCAGCAGATTTCCCAGATGTACACCATCCTCTTCAGACGAAACCTGCAGGGAGAGCAGACACCTTATCCATTAGCAATGGAGCCAAGGGGACAGACGGAGGAAGGGAGAAGACTCAGGAGAGGGAATGGGTTCTCATGGGTTGGGTTGAGTTGGGTTGGGTTGGGTTGGGTTGGGTTGGGTTGAATTGGGTCCAGAAAACATCCAAAGTGACCTGTCCGATTCCACAACATGCGCTCTTCTCTTCACTACCAATGATAACACCTTTCTCTTCACTACCAATGATTACACCAACATCCTTTCGAAGTCCTCTTTTTTTTTTTTTTTTTTTTTTTTTTTTTTTTTTT